GATATGAAAGCTAGGAGCTAAATGGCACCTTAAACCTAGGTTGTGGGCACAACAACCTAGGCACACTTTTTTATAACAAGAATACAAAGCTGTAAGCGAATGAACTGTAGCTAAAATCTTATATTCATTTTTCACATGGTCTAGTCCTCATCTGAAGACTGCAAAAAACAAAGCCATGCTTCGCCTGCCCACCTCCCTAATATTCTTAAGAAGGTCTCTTCTCCAGTCTTCAGAGAGTGGTTGGAAGTGGGGAGGCAGAAAAAGGGCCCTCCTTTCCTTCTACTCTGCAGTTTTAATCTGAAACCTTAGGCGCAGCACTGTGGCCAGAGTTCAGAAACTGCTCGTGCTAATGAAATTCCCTGTCACAAAATGCACCTAGAACAATGGGAGTTTCAAGTGCTGAATAGAATATTTCTGTTGGTGACTGTTTCCCATAGAAGGTGGGTGAACTGAGCAACAAATCTGTTTTCTTTCACATTACTGGCTAAGTAGTTAAGGCATCAATGATGTTGAAGAGCACAAAAAGGTCTCCAGCATGTTTGCAGTTGTCAGAACCAAAGAAGTACCATATGTTGATTTAACTGTTGGAATTTTTGTAAGCCACTTCCTACAAACAGAAGTCAAGAAAACTCCACTTTGCAGCTTGTTTTGTCACCAGGTTAAACTCCTTTCATAAGGTTTTTTTTTAACTCCCCCCCCAACCAATTGATGAGTGATTTAATGAGTAAGCATCACTTAATACATCTTGCTGTTTAGTTTAACAAGGTATTTCATAGGGAACTTCCATATTCATAAAGCCATTTTAATGCACTGAATATCATCATTATTTTTTCAGCAGGATCTGTTACTTAGTTAAATGGATTTGAGACATCAGACTATTATATGACAGACGATTTTGTCACTATGCAAAATGTGAACCCTGTAATCAACTTGTTATGGCATTTCACAAAAGCATGTGACAGTAAAATAAGTAAACTGTCATTTGGGCAATCAAGCTTTGAAATCCTTCAGGACGAGGAAAAAGGCATTTGACACAGTCTTCATCGTAGCAATGAGGTTCAAAGATAATTTAAGACTATTACAGTCATACATGACTGCATAGCTGAATACAATAATATAACAGAATGTATTGGAATAGTTGCTGGTGACATAAATGTGAATTTCCAGTAATTTTTCATAATATTTTAATCACATTTTCCTCTTGATTTTAACCCACATATAATAATAACTATAGACAGATAGAAATACAGATATATAATTGCATGCAGAGGGTGCGTTTCATGAATAAAAGCATTGTTTTCCTTTCATGGAGGTAACTCATATTCATGGACGTTTTTGCTAGAGGAAGCTGGGGAGGGGTTTTTCTCAATTCCCCTTTAAGAACATTATAAGAGCCTGTTGGATCAGGCCAATTGCCCATCTTGTTCTCAGAGATGGCCAACCTGTGGGAAGCCCCCAAGCACAATTCAAGCACAAGAGCACTCTCCCCTGCTGTATTCAGAAGCAAACCTGACTCCAACTGTGGAGGCACAGCATAGTTGTCATGGCCTTCAATAGCCCTCTCCTCCATGAATTTATTTAATTCTCTTTTAGAACGATCTAGGTTGGTGGCCATCACTGCCTCCTATACCACCTCCCATACTGTTCTGGTGGGGTCTCCCAATCCTCTAAAACAGTTTTTGAGGGGACAAAGAAGGCTCTGCAGGGAATTCTTGACATGCAATAGACATGCAATGAACTACCAAACAAGCTATGATTCATACTAAAATTAATTATGTGGGCAAGTATCTATCTTGGAACTGTCTACCCAGGAATCAAGATGCATGAATAGGTGAGAGACATGCCTGAATTACTTGTGTTGATATGCAAAACACCCTCTTGGCCACTGCAGAGGCAGTATTCTCCATCTGCAGTCTATAATAGCTAATGCTGCAAAATGTAATTCATTTCAGCTGCCTGAATGGTGCTTGCTTTGGGCTGACATCATCTTGGTATGGTCTTTAACCAAAGATGGGGATTTTTTGTAAGCTTGCGCAGAATTGGTTCTAATCTTCCAAATGAAAATATAAGGAAATATTTCCTATTGTGATTAAGCAGTAGCCCAATGAGGTGTGGAATTTCCTCTTGAGTAAGGTGTCATGAATTACTTTCATGCCTTGATGATGCAGGAAAGAAAGGCAATAGCTTCAGTCAAAGGCAGGAAAGACAGAAGAGAGCAGCCTAAAGCAGAGCAGCCTAGAATGAAAAGGCCAGGAGAATATAAGCACAAAAGGAGCACTGACATGTGGAATAAAAGGAGGAAGATGTATGGATGGAATGAATGAATGAATGTGGGGAAGAGAGCTGAAGATTCAAAGGGTGGGAAGCGGAGGGGAGAAGTAGCAGATAGAACAAAGGAAATTGGAAGGCTGACCTGGAACTAAGGATGGACAAATCTGCCCATTTCAGTTTCTCATTTTCCCAAGATTAAATTTAGTTTGCCACACTTCTGCATCACTTTGCACATTTTTTTTAATAAAAAAAACTTCTCACACTTATCACTTTATTTCATGTGTATCCTAATACACACATTTTTTTATTCAGTTTCTGCCTAATGTACATATTTTGCAAGCATTTTGCATAATATAATGCATTTTGTGAATGAAAGTGTTGTTTATGCATGCTTCCCCCTAATATACTTATTATTAGTTTGGAGAAGTGCATCACAAAATTTGGAGAAGTGCAAGAATCTGGAGAATTTCAATTTTTTTTGTTCATGTACTGTTTTTGCAAAGTTCAAATTAGGTAGGGTCCCACTGAAATGTGAACTGAACCAAATTCCTCCCTCCCACTCTTACCTGCACGAAACAGACAAAGACAAAAACAAAAACGTTGCTAAAATGATTAAAGAAGAGTGAGCTTACCCTGAAAATGTATGAGCACCATTTCAATGCTCCCTCCACTTTCCAAAGAGTTGGGAGAAGGAGAGGTCTGGCAGTCCTCTCCCGTCTTTAAGGGAGCCTTCTTCCACCTGCAACCCATTCCTTGGCCCCAAGATAAGTTTTTGCTCCTTGGGTGTGGAGGACAGGAGCTCAAACAAAGACATCTTAAATTTGAGCAGGGGTGTTTGCATATGCAAAAGCTCTACTGTGCACATGTACCCCATCTCTGTCAGAAAATGAAGGTAAAAAAAATGAGTAGACACCATCTAGGTTCTGTGAGTTTCTTTGCTTTCATTTGACAGCTCAAAATTAATTCAATTTAAAACACATACAGCTCTGTTGTGTTGTCTAAATCCTGACCCCACCCCTCCAAATTTACTGATTCAGGGTGTGGCTGCAGAAGCTCTCTACTGGTGGAGCTCTGCCAACAGGCAATGAAGTACTTGTACGTAGAGGGCCCCACCACACCCAGAGAAACCTGCCATTAGGCCCCCAGATGGAGCATTCCATGGACACGGTGGATCCAGAGCCCCTCTATTCCCTTGAGAGATGACAGCCTGCTGTTAGTGTGGGTAATCTCCCCTCACCAACCCATTGCAATGTTTACTTTAAAACCCTATCAGGGCTAAAACAAAGAAGTACATTGCTTCCCACCTCTCACCCTTTCTGGTGTAAGCTGGAAGGTCTTTTGACAAGAAATATCATTAACCACTTCCCTCCCGCTTAGGGTTGCTTAGTAAGACACTTATAAATTCATTTACATGCCAAAAAGCATGGGAATTATGCCATGTAAGCAGGAAACACAATTCTGCAATCTCTCACAATTGTGCTTGCTTGCTTGCTTGCTTGCTTACAATTTAACATCTACACACACACACTTGTATAACAATACATGATATAACATATTTGGTTGGTTGTTGTTCATCCATTTATTTTTAATAAAAAAATAATATTAATGGAGTGAGTGGGGACATTACTGTGAGGCAGATATTTTTAACATGTTACTATACGAAAGGATGATTTTGCCTCAGTAATTTTCTGATAACTCGAGCATCCTTTTTCTTAAAATAGATCCATCTGCAGAGACCTGCTCAGCTGCTGAGGTGGATCATCCACCTGGAGTCTCTAAGATGACTGTTAAATGAATGAACAGGCATCTTTTATCTCTGTCAATGCAGAACCATGGGCAGAATTAGAGTGTCCTTAAAAAGCAGTATTGTACTGGCTCCTTTTGTATAAATATAAAAGAGAATGTGTATTTATAAAAGGGAGATGCCATATATTTTCCAGTAGCATTTTGATTTGGAATTGAACTCTGTCTCCCACTGACAACAGGAATAACTATATGGGGTGGTCACCCTTTCATTGGGTTTTCATCATCCTTTGACCAGGTGGAGGTTTAACAAATGTAACAGTAAGTCATCACTAACTGTAGTGGCTACTCTTAACGAAAACTGCAAAATTTACTCAGGCAATACTTTTGATGGTGAGGATGAACAGAATGGAAGAATGCCTAGAAATGCCTATCCATTCATACAAATCACCAAATAGCTCTAGTTCATGCAACTCCTGGTACTATTTTATGGGTTAGTTTTCTCAAGATACTACATGTGCACTTATGCGCAGGTGAACTATGTAATCTGCTCTGTTGTATATCGGTGCATTCAATGTAAAACCAGTAACCACCACAGAACGATACCTGGGCCTATGCCAGCTTTGTTGGTTGTTGTGACTCACAAAGGATACTGGTGAGCTGGAGAAGGGCAACCAAAATGGACAAGAGGTTTCAGAAGCTCCCCTCTGGGGAAATGTTGCTTATTTAGGGCTTTTTAGTTTAGAAAAATGGAGTGCAGATTTGTATGAAATTGTGTGGTGTGGAAAAAATGGAGAGAGAGGTTTCAGAATACTATAATCTATTATTATTATTAGTAGTAGTAGTAGTAGTAGTAGTAGTAGTATCCTGTCTTTTCCTGAGACTGGGACTCAAGGCAGCTTACACAAATGATAACATAGATAAAATACAAAATGCTAAAAACATTTAGAAGATAATAGATAAAAAGTAAGTAAACTCTAATAGAATTAAAGCAATTAAAACAAATTTATTAAAGTACAGATTAAACACAGCACTCTCAAAAAACCCTTAAAAAACAGCCATAAATCATTTCATTGCTTTTTTTTGGCGGCAGCGGGGGTTCCTATGATTTCGTTTGTTGCTTTTCTCTATGCATTAATTTGAACATAAGAAAAGGACATCTAGTCCAGGTGTAGCTAAAAGGGTGCTCTCCAGAAGCTGTTGGATTCCAGTTTCCAAAAACCTCAGTCAATGTGACCAACAGTCAGGAATTAATGGAGCTGAAGTCCAAAACCTTCTGCAGGGCACCATGTTGGCCTCCCCTGATCTAGTCTAACATCCTATTTCCCACGGTAGCAAATCAAGTGCCTCCAAGCACCCTGCAAGGAGGGCAAGAAAGAACTAGTCCTCCCATGCTGTCAGTATTTATATTGTACCTGAGAGCTGAGGTTATTGATGTTATGTAAGCAGCTGTAAGATCCTTTTCAAAAAAAGCAGCTGTAGTATCTTTTTTTGGTGTTGATGATGTTATTATCATGTCAAGATGTTTCATGGAAACCAATTCATAAATCAAAATATAAATACATAACAGTATCTTCCATTCATCTCCTCTTAAAGCAATTGCAATCAATTATCGAACTGTGCACTTGACTGTGTAGGTGGAATAATACCATCTCTGAAATTTAATTGTTTTGTTTTTGTTTTGTTTTTAAACCCAATACTTGAAGTGGCTTCTTTCAAAGTCCCCACAAAAATGAACCAGGCTAGCCTTCCTTTTCTCCTCCTAAGAAAAACAAAAATGACAGCTGTGTCTGAATCCCCTTTGCAATTTGGTGTGGGAAGGGGGAATTCAGGGGGCCTTGGTAGGTCCAACCTACCTATTCATTTCTTGAGGTCTTGGTATTTAAACTTTCACTGAGGTTAATAGAAAATGTAGACTTAGAAAGTCAACTCTGTTTGTAAAACTTAATTTTAGTCAGAGGCATATACATATACCCTCACGCTTCATTAAAAAGACTGCAGCACATTGCAGAACGCCTCGTTTTGGGGTACCTGCATGTCTGTTTGGCTCGCCCCCATAGCCTGAGGTCGAGGAGCCCCACAATTTGACACGATGTGTTGGGCGCCTCATTGTCATCTATGGGGACCTACATTTTTCTTGAGCCTTTCACAGGTGAACGCCAGGGCAACCCTTATGGGGAACCCCTCCTTATTCAAAACTTAGCCCAGCTTTCCTCCTTCAGGAGGGCAAGAATGACAGAGACGTGCTCAGGCCAAAAAAACGAAAATGGAAAAGTTGGACTCCTCTGCGGCTGCTACTGCTTTCGTGTTTTGTTTTGCTGTGGCCACTGCGGCGGCGGCTGCTGCTTCCTCGCCCAAGGCCCAGCAGGCGGCAGCAGAGAACTCCGCGCTGCTCACCCAGTTTCTCCGCACTTTCCTCCAGAGGCGCCCCCCCCGCCCCCATTTCCCCCAGACAGCGAGAGAACGCTCGGAACCAAAGCAGCGTCCTCACGTGCACCGGGTGGGCGCGCGTAGGCGTGACCGCTGGGCGGGGGCGGGCAGAGTCTCTTCCCGCCAACACAGTACAGTTGCCGGGCTGGCGAGCCGAGAACAGGGATGCCACCGGCTGTCTGTGTGGGTCGTCGTCTCTCAAACGTCCTCTCCTCCCGCTGCCCGCCACCTCTTGTGTGAGGGGGAAAAAAACACCCTTCAAAAGCGGCAGAACATCTCCCTCAAGTTCGTTGTTTCCTCAGCGACGCTGGCGGGGTGGGGAAAAAAAAAACCCGGGGCGGAGAGAAAGAAAGAGAGAGAGGAACGCGAAAGCGTGAGCGGAGGCTGTGTTGGCGCGCGCGCGCCTGCCTCTGACAAGGGAGACGACCCTGAAGTCTCGAGCAGAGCCAAAGTCATAAGGGGATTGGGAGGTCCTCCTCCGCTCCTTTCCCGCTCCCCACCCCACCCCACCCGCCGCCCCCTCCCCGCCTTCTCCAAGCTGGGCTGGAGCGGCGGCCGCCGTTGCCTTGCTTACATGGAGAGACAGCGCCTGTCATGCTTGTGAGCAGCGGCAGCCGCCGCCAGCTCCCTGCCTCCTCCTCCTCCTCCTTCTGTTGCTGTGCTGCATTGGGAATAACCGCTCTGCCATTGACTGGAGGTGGGCTCGAGCCCTCGCGAGGGGAATAATACCTGGCCGAGCGCGGAGCCTCGGAGGCTTCTCGGCCTCCCGTCTGAGGGGGGACGACAACAACAACAGCAGCAGCGAGAAGTGCCCGCAGGAGGAGAGGGGGCTTCCCGCCCGCCGCCGCCGCCGCCCGCCGGAATGAGCTGAGCCCCCTTTCGCCCGCCTCTCTGCCCGAGTGGGCTGGATGGCTCGCGGGCTGAGCGCAGGCGGCTGGCAAACTTGCAGGGCCCGCCGAATGCCTTCGGGGAGCGCCGCTGCTCCCGCCGGCTTCCGGGACGCCGCCGCCGCCGCCCGCGCCGCTCTTGGCGGAGGCATCTTGGCACAAGGGGAGTGAAGGCTGCAAAGGCGGCTGCTGTCCGCGCAGGGGGTGCTGCTCACGCGGTCCTAATGCCTGTCACTTCTCGGGACGCGCTGGTGGTGGCAGCGGCGGCGGCGGCGGCTGCAGGCGGGAGCCCCCCGAGTGCTGCTCGGGCTTGCTTGGCTTCTTCCGGCATCTGATTGGATACGGCCGGGCTCTGCGTGGGACAGCGGAGCTGTGGCGAGGGGCCTCCGAGAGACAGAGAGAGAGGAAAAAAACATGGGTTATTGCAGCGGCAGGTGCACGCTGATCTTCATCTGTGGCATGCAACTGGTACGTGAGTCGCTGGTCTCCTTTATTTCCTTTTTTCCCTGTCTGAATCCTCTCTCCAATAAAACAAAAGTATAAACAAACCCCAAGAAGCAAGAGGCCAAATCCGATGGCTGTTTGTCGTTCGTGAGGGGAGAAGAGGTTAGAGAGGAATGGGCTGTAGGAGTGAGCTCAGGGCATGCCTACTCAGAAGTAAGCATCCTTGTTTTCAATGGAGTTTGCTCCCTGGCATGTGCGTATAGGCATTGCGGCTTGTGTTGTAACAGGGACTCCCTGAGTGACATTCACGTGGGCACGGGGTAAACTTGTTTGAGGCTGCAGTTCTGTGCTGGTTTATTTGAGAATGGAAGCGATTGGGACGTAGTTCAAGTGAACATGCATAAGATGCGACTGCTAACCTTAAAAATTGACACACACACCCGCCCTTTCTCCTTGAAGGCTCAAGAGATCTCAAAGAGATTTGGGAACTTTGAAAGACTGAGCATGGTTTTTGTTTGTTGAAAGGAAGGCAGTTCATATGTAATTACAATGGATGGAGTGGCTGATGAGAAGCATGTAGCTTTGCAGTGAGGGATGAAAAGTTAACTCATCTCAAGAAAGGTATGAGGTAGAGACTAGAGGTTTCCTTAATTAAATGGAATGAGCACTGTTTTAGGCATGGTTATGAACTTGAGCCAAGATAATCAGATAAGAGACAAAGGGTGTGTATGAATTCAGCAGGATGATTGTTTTGAAGTATGTGGTAAAAGCTTTCATTGTTTCCAAGCAGTGCTAAAATTATGTTGTTTCCAAACAAACAAAAGAGAGTAAACTAAACTGTTCACCTCTATGGTGGCCACATATTGAAGATGAGATACTAACTAGAAAATCTGTTGCAGTGCCTATTTTATGCATGTCTAACTTCACAGATGGAGTTTTTCTGAACACCCTGAATGGATGTTGCTGTTATGCAGTTAGTCAACCTCAGAAGATGCCACATTTCTGAATGTACCTTGAATGAGTTGTCTATGGTAGAACAGGTTTGGAATGGGGCCTTAAGGGTGCAATCCTATACACTCTTGACCTGGGAGCAAATCCCATTGAGCTCAGTGGGACTTACTTCTGAGTAGGCATTCACAGGATTGCAGTGTTAAAGCAGTTAACCTTGAAAATGGAGAAAACGGTTACAGTACACTCTTCCAACTGGCAGAGTACCACCAGTTTTCCCAAAAGACAGGTGCTTAAGAAGACTGCATGGGGAAATAAAATTATCATTCTGGGAACAAAATCAGTACATGGGAAAGATTCACTGACCGTCGCAGAGCCTACACATCTGTGATGTTTCAGTGAATCTATTATCTTTGTGTGTAGCAGGAAGCATTCTGCTTGTCTAAACCCTGTTCTTCACAGAAGTATCTGATCCTGTGTGTTTGATTTATTCTTGTGCAAGTTATTTGAAAGAAACCCTCCCCCAAGCCTGTTAAATGTAAACAAAATTATTGGAACGTAAGCTGTTTAACATTATCACTGGAGTTCCTCCCCCAAAGCTAAATGGAACAATAGTTTTAGGCTTTCTATGCCAAAGGTCAGAATACAGAAACTGCCCAGCTGGACCAGACCAGAGATTCACCTGGTCCTGCATCCTGTTTCCAGCAATGGCTAGATAAATGCTTCTGGGAACTTCATAAGCTTGATGAGGGCAACAGCTTTCTCCTCCTTGCTGTCCCCAGTGTCTGATATTGAAAGGTTTGTGCCCCTTGTTGACTTGACCCAATACAGCTACAACAATGTATTTAAAGGTAGCCACAAGAGTATTCAATGTATCCTAGAGGTTGAAACATTAGCTTGGGAGTGAGATGGCAAAAGGCAGATAGATATACATTTACCATTTATTCGGGTCTGTGAAGGAACATAGATTACAGGACTGAGTGTGAGAATAAAAAATACAACCATCCTAATACTGGAGCTTATGAAATATGCCTTACTGTTATTACTTTAGCTCTGCTGGGCCCTGGAATGAATCAAATGTAAATGTTACATGGCACTCATCCATAGAGAGAGAGAAAAGATTTGGTATTTTAAATTATAGGACGTAATGACAGCCTGGATGGTTAGACTGTTTATAATGCAGGATAAGTAAATATCTTACAGATATGTTCAAGTATTGAAGCAGATTTCATGAACATAGAACAATGATGGAGGGATGTTCCTTTCACACTAAATAAAGCTTATCATTGCAATGTTGGATCTGATGGAGTTAGGAACTGCAATTGGCTTTCAGTGACCACCAAATTTTATTCCCCAATTCCTCTCATTATGCATTGGCTTTCAAATGCTCACTCATGAGTAGTCTCAGCTAATGATTGATATCAGTGTGCAAGATGCCACATGTGAGTTCATATTGGGTTGGGGAAGTATGAATAAGGCAAATGCCATGCATACAGCTGTTCTCCAAATGAAAACCATGACTGGCTGCAGCTTCCTGTTGAATGTACACTTGGTGACAAGCCTGAGATTGATGCCATATAATGTGTGGAATAGCCCTTAAATGGCTTGGGTTTGGATAGTGGTAATCTTGTGAGCCTTATGAGATACTTTGTCTACTATGCTTATCAGGTACTGGACTTGCACAAGAAAAGCTTGATGAGAGGTGTTAATTTGTAAGAGACTTATTGTGTGAAGGTTGTATGTGGAGGTCTTTGTCCAGGAGCAGAGATCTTGTCAATATTATCTCTATGTTCCTACCACTATTAATCATTGTTGTACATTCACTTCATATTCAGTTTGTTGGGGAAACAGGTTCATGCTAAAAACAACACCAGGTTTAAATATAAAATTGAAGCAAATACTTTGTTGTTTTTTAAAAATGCATTTTACAGTTTGATTCGTTGCAGTGATGCACATGGTTGCTCAGAAGTATTACTCACTCAAGACAGTGTGACAAACTTATGAGCAACTCTGTTTAGTGGGTTTGAGAAACCTGTCACCTTCCAGGTGTTGCTGGATTCCAACTCCCATCCTTCCTGACCATTGATCATGCTGGCTTTGGCTTATGGGATTCAAAGTCCATAAATATATGAATGATCACAGGTTCCCCACCCTTACTTTATAGGATTACAGTCAATATTATTTATTTATTTATTTATTTATTTATTTATTTATTTATTATGTTCTTCAGCCTGGAGGCAATGTGTTAATTTCCTCTTTCAAAATATGTAAGTAATTACTGTGGAGGTAAATATCTGATATAATATACAAAGTGGGTTTTTTCTCTCTCTTTCCTTTGTCATGGTAGGATGAGGAACAGTATTATGCACTGTATAATGCTTTAAAATTTGAAGAATAATCCACATGCTTGTCTTAGTTGCATTCTGTTCTTTCTTCCATTTTCTTGTTAACACATACCCACATGCCAACCAGCTTTCATGTGTGTCATGGAAAACCATTTCTGACAGCTCATTTTCTTCTGAAACCTATATGAGAAATAACAGAAGGTAATAAGCTTAACCTGCTGATAGCTAATGCTATTAATTGAATCAGCATATTAAAATTTCCTCCTAATTTCTCAAAGTTGTTAAAGTGAGAGGCTATCTTGAAGAGAGGTGATATTGTGGACCAGAGTGGAATATGAAATGCTGCTGTTTATTTTTTCATTCAAGACTACAGCAGTGGAACACACTGCCTCAGGCCCCCAGTCTTAACACTTAAAACACTCCATAGCAAAATCAGAGCAACTTTAAATTGAATCCAGAAACAAAAAATGAGTAGTGAAGGCTGCTGATACAAAATTAGTAATTGTGACCAGGCTCTTTTTTATCCAGATCTGGTTGCAGTTAGTGAACCAACCTAACCTGGTAAAAGACACACCTACCTACTGAGATTGCCTGTGCCTCCATAGATAACACTGGATCCTAGAGTACCTCTAAACTGCACAATAGTGCATCCAAAACCAATTGCAAACCTCAATCTAGTTCAACTCACAGTATTTCTATCTTTGATTAAGATTTCAGTTTGGCTGCCTATTCTGGAATAGCATCCAGGCACCTGGTCTCTGTTGCATCCCTGTATTTAGTAAATCTGTGTACCAGCTGCGTACTGGAGATACCTCAGCCTAAACGTCTGGATAACCTCTTTGAGTGAAACTCTGTGACACCTCCAGTGCTGGTGGCCATGAGTTGACATAGTAGTCCTTCAATGGAGTCCTGGACTCTTCCAGAAAGGATTGTTGTCACTGCAATACTGTGCTTCCAGGCTCCACTCTGGCAACACAGTCAGATGGATACTATGGCTGGTGGTTTTGAAAACCACAAAGAGCTCCAGTGGTTGTTGTTCTTTACATCCAGAGGTGCCAACTTGTGAGAGAGATTGGGTGGGGGAGCAACATCACAGATGCAACATCCCAATGTTGCATCAAGACATCAGAGGAGCCAGGGGGCAGAGCTGAACGTGGCCGCAGTGCAGCTTCAATGGCAGGTGGCTCTTTCTCCTGCCACCACCACTGGCTTCCCCATTCCTTCCCTTCTGTGGCAGCAGGAGGAGAAGGAGGAGCCAGTCACTGAAGCTGTGTGATGCTCAGATCCATGCTTGTGCCCTCATTTTTTTAAACCATTGCCCCCACCCATATTGGAGGGGTCCAAAAGGGTTGAGCTTCTAGGAGTTGGTGCCCCTGCTTGCCTCCATCTCCTGATGAAGGTGATTAAAGAGGGTGACCCAACAATTTTAGCCCCATAGTCAGGGTGAAGCAGACTGTATCAAAATAATCAGTGTCATACAAAGCTACCTGGAGTTGAAACATGATAATCTGCTCCCCTATCTTGCCCAAAAGTAATTCTGTGGCTGATCAAAGTTTAAGGGAAAGTAGAGGGATTTAGCTGGGCCATTTTATATTAATGAAGAAAATACAAGTAAAATATAAATGTAAAAGACATAATATGATAGTGTTTACCAATAAGAACATTGTCACTGGCCAAATGTTATGTAGGTGGTGAGTGGTATTTTTAATCGCTATGCACACTGCAAGTTTT